AAGGGCCCTTAAAGTGGCTTTAGACTATGAGACTTTACGTACTATACCACGTATGGAAAATCAAATGAAATTTCACCCATATATTCACTTGGGGTCCCAATACACACATATTTTGATATACATATAATTGTTGTAAATGTTCGTCCAAAAAATTTGTTTCTTCTATAGATCATGTTCAAGTCTCCACGTCGAATAAAACTTTAGATAGAATGTTAACATGATGTTTAATTTTGTTATCCTGAGAACTTTAATTTTGTCCTGAAGGTAGCCACTGGTAAAGGGCTTCGTTTTCACAATCCTGTCTGTTCCGTAAACCGAATCAGAGTAAATTTCTCGTTTAAAAATGAATTCGCATAATTTTTCTCGTTTTAACACCGAGTACACAAATCTAGTTCAAAGTAAATGGGATATAATTTTATTCGAATAAATTAAATAATTATTTTTCTGCGATTTTAATACAATTGTAATTTAATATAAATGTTATGGGCTTTTTATATATATATATTTTTTTTTCATTTAAAATGTGCTAATTTTTTTACGTTGAAATAAAAATTCGACTTGCAGAACACCAAATTCGGTTTAAAAAGTTTCTCGGTTTTGAAACCGATTCGATTTACAGAACGGACATGAATATGTTGAGATTATTTTCGGAATGTTGGGCTTCATCCAAATTGTTGTGCATATAGTTAGTGTTATTGGCCAATTAAACCTTAGTTATAAGTGAGTAAACACAATCAACAAAACCAATAAAGTAATCAAGAAGAAAAACTTAATTTTTAATAGTAGTTTTGATTTTCTACGTACCGGAATGACCCGAAATTATCGTCCAAGGGCTGTCAATCCCAGCAACAACTACAAAATTTTTAACAACGGAGCAACATTAATTGCGTGGACATATGGTGCAACCGGTTCTGGTCACAACCATGGTCCGGGATTTATTTCGATTCCGACAGGTGCAACACATGTTTGGGCTGGTTTCACCTCAGGAACTGCTCTGGACTAAACCATCATCGGGAGTGGTCGTAGACTTTTGTCGTCCCATGCTGCCAACAACAGCGACGAAATTCAATGGTATCATCGACATCGTCATCATACACCTGGGGTGATATCCACATTGCAGTTTAAATACAATGTCTTCCAGTGTAAATTACTCGAGATAACCAGATTTATGCAGCAAAACAACATCGTGGTCGCGGTTCTTGAGACAAAACTGACGAGTAATTCCAGTCTGCACATTTTAACGGATGCAACGTTTTGCGAAAAGGCAGCACCAGAAGCAACGGTTAGGAATATCATTCATTATACAGAACACAGTGCAGTATAGAGCTCTTTCCCTCGATCTCAACGCTAGAGACCAATACCTTGAACTATTGCAGTCAGATCGGGGGAAACCGACTTACAGCTCTATAATCTACATTCCCAGTTGTCTATCAGGCTATTGTCCCGACTTTACGACCTCACACACTTGCACACACACATGCACATTTTTCCATAATTTTTTTTGTTTTTTTACCACCGCCATAAAAACGGTTTTTACCGTTTTTAAATAAATACAATTTTATTAATTTTCATATAGCTTTGGATTTAATTATTCTAATTATAGGTACTTTTTTAGTTATTAACACCAGGTCTTTCTATGACCTATCATATGATACTAATATTCTTAATATTGAGCATGCCGTTCCCAAGATATTAAACCTAAGTACGTGTACGTGAACGTGTATAACTCCTTTATTAGAAGAGAGCAAAATAGTATTGCAGTATTAGTGTTAGTGACTGTAAATAATTTTAAAAATAATCCATGGCTCAGTAATTTCCAATCTTTATAGATGGTTTAATTCCAAGTTATTTAAAAAATGTTCATGAAAGGTAATGTTTTTATTGATTAAAAACAATAAATTAATTAATTAATTTTCAATTATTTTATTTTTTTAGAAAGTAGTAGCTAATATTGTACCCCCTATTAAAATACTTCTAACCGAATTAAAATATAAACTAGTAAGAAAGTATAGTCGGGCGTGACCGACCATATGATACCCTACACCAGTTATGAATATTAAATGTGATTTATTTTTCATAATAAAGCATTTACCTTCAATATTCCCTTGTTCCGATACATTTAAGCAATTTATGGATGAAAAAATAATTTTTTGAAAGAGACTTTATATGGGGGCTAGGGGCATATATAGACCAAGCCCGATAAAATTTTGTGAATATATTTATATTTACATAATATTTTATTGTGCTGAATTTCATCGCGATATTTGTGTTTATAAGTTAATTTGGGACATTCAAGTAATTTTCTGAAGGGGACTTTGTATGGGAGCTAGGGTCAAATGGGGTCCGATCTTTATGAAATTTGGCAGGGTCATCAAGACTTCTATAAAACTTAGTTGTGCCGTATTTTATCGATATATCTGTATATTTAACATAATTATGAGCTCAGAAGCCCTTTTCGGGGGGTTCTGTTCTATGGGGCTAGGTGAAATAATGAACCGATTTTAACCATTTTCAATAGGTATATTCAGTATTAATTATAACATTATTTTGGTTTATTTCGTTGAAGGATTAATGCGTTCCAAAATATAACTCTTACAATTTGAAGTATTGATCATAAAATTGATGAAGAACTACAAAAATACTTTAGAGTCCAACGTTTTACAATTTTTGGAAGTATACCTGTCAGCAGTTGGAATATTAATACAGATTTCCTGAAAATTATTTTATTATAAGGTAATAATTCTAAATTTTTGATACATATGTAATTAGACCGACTCACTCTGTATGGAAAGCTAAAAAGTGTTTTTGTTACCCCTCTCAAAATTTTCCTTGCTTTGTTTTATGATGATTCCCAAAATATTTTAAGTCTAGGGATGACCGTTCGTGAGCTGGACCAAATTAAAAAAAGGTATTTTGGAATTATTTTTTTTAAATTTTTGTTTGTTTTGAAACAAAATATCCAATACGCGGGGTATCGTTTAAAAGGTATTTTAAAGCGCGTCCAATGATGTATTAATCATAAATAACCGTCTGCTTATAATTGTCATATTCCAAAATATTTAAAATTGTTAGGTTTTTCACTAAGAACAAGTAAGAAATTATAGTCGGGCATGGCCGACCATAGATACCCTACACCAATTGCAAATATTAAATGTGATTAATTTCAATAATGAAGCATTTCTGTTGAATCTTATATAGGTTCCAAATAATGTTTGTTCATCTACGGTTGTATGCTGACTAGGCGAAATAAAAGACCGATTTCAATCATTTTCACAGCCTTCGTCATTGGATCCAGAGAATAGTATGTGACCCATTTTAACAAATAATATTCAAAATTCCGATTTGTTGCGTGCACACAAGGTTTACACGGACACAAAGACGGAAATAGCTTAATCGAAGCAGAAAGTGATTCTGAACCTGATACTTAAGGACAAATATTTTTGAGTGTTACAAACATCAGCACATTGTGCCGACTTTTGGATAGATAGTAATATATTAGACGTGGTTAAAAGACAAACGGCCGAAATCGGAAGGTCCGAATGTATGGGGGCTAGGGCAGAAATTTAGCCGATCCTTATAAAATATATTATTGGGAATTATCTATATACATATATAAAAATGAATGTGTGTTTGTTTGTATGATTACATGTTTGTATGTTTGTGCGTTTATATGTTTGTATGTTTGAAAGTTATAGACTACTCCGGCTAAACCGATTTTCTTCAAATTTTCACAGCGTATTCATGTATGTCTGGCAATAAGCTACTTTTTATTTCCGATCATGACGAAAATTGACATTGTTATTTATAATTATATCAAACTTAGTTGTGTCTATTTTTGGGAAGATAGTAGTATATTTGTCGTAGTTATGAGCTAAATGGCCCAAATCGGTAGGTCCGGTTGTATGGGGGCTAGGTCAAAAATTGGTCCGATCCTTGTAAAATTTATTGTTGGGAATTATGTTTATATAAAACTCATTTTTGAAAAGTTTCATCGTGATAATAGTGTTTATAAGTGAATTGTGTACATTCAAGCCATTTTCTGAGGGGGACTTTGTATGGGGGCTAGGGTCAAATAATGCCCGATCTTTACGAAAATCACTAGAATTATTAAAACATATATAAAAATAATTTTTTCCAGTTTTTGTAGAGATAGTAGATCATTTAACATAATTAAGAGGTCAAAAGCCCTATTCGGGGGGTTCGGTTGTATGGGGGCTAGGTAAAATAATGGACCGATTTCAACCATTTTCAATAGCGTTCGTCCTTCGACCAAGAGAAATGCATGTTCCAAATTTCATCAAATTATCTCAAAAATTGCGACCTGTAGAGTGCGCACAAGGTTTACATGGACACACAGACAGACGGACGGACATAGCTTAATCGACTCAGGAAGTGATTCTGAACCGATTGGTATACTTTAAGGTGGGTGTAGGACCAATATTTTTGGGTGTTACAAACATCAGCACAAACGCATAATATCCTCCCCACTATAGTGGTGTAGGGTATAAAAATAAAATGTATGCACAATTTTGCAAATTTTGCGCACCACTAGATGTCGTGTGCACCCTGTAGTAGGGCAAAATTTAAAAAGAAGAAGACGAAAAGAGAAGTTGGCAACGCGGCTGTACAAACTATCTGACAGCTGGAAAATGTATACAGAAACAAAACTATAATGTAAAAAAACTATACGGTTTAGCCAAATGGCTGAAATGGTGTTAAATTGATGGGAACCATATTGGTAACCGAGGTTTCTCGTTACCAAAAAAGTAAGATGTCGGTCTTTTTCATTTTTCCATGCCCAAGAAGAAGGTGGAGCCCGTGGCTGTCAACTTAAAGGAAACGCACCCAATTTCAATTTAAATTAAATAATTTTTATTTTATTTAATATACTTAAAAACACAAAGTATACAGAGGTGTCACTTTTGACATTTAAAAAAGTCTAAAATCAGCTTTTGTTTGATTTTGAAATTGTTTGGTGAGAAGAGGTATATAAAATACAGCTAAAAAAAATTATTGAATTCGTTTTGTGCGAAAAAGAGGGAAATAGTTTTTTGCTTGTGACGCCTCTGTATACCCTGTGCTTAAAAATTTTAAAGTTTACAATTTTAAACTAAATAAAGTTGAACTTAAAACTAAAGGAAATTAAACTTGAAACTAAACAATACAGAAATTTGAAACTAAGCCAACAGCAAATAAGCCACGCCATCGCCAGCTCCATCCATCGTGGGACTCTTTTGGCAGACCAGCACCAGCAATCCTGTGGTGCTCAGGTATCAGGTTTTCGACCGTAGTACTTACCATTCACCCGGACGACCAAACGAACAGGACTTCTAAATACTACTTTTAAATAATTTCCTAGAAAATAAAATATAGAAAAAGATATATAAACAAATATATATATAGAAGTAGGCTTACCTGTCGTTTTTTTTATTCGTCGTCATCCCGTTTGTGATTAAGCCAAACGTGCGCGATTAGGTTTGAGCTCAGGCCAAATATTAATTAAAAAAAAACGCGATAAGTTTGAATTTAGGTTGCCTAGAAATATATACATATATTTGCTAAATAGTGGTCCTTAAAATTATTTAAAGGGTTTTTCCAAAATATTTTTTTTTTACTTACCGTGAATACTCTAACGGACTGAAATACGGACGGACCGAAAACCCATTCCTGCAACCAATCAGCTCGCAAGAATCCTGTCACTCACAGCAGCCAGCCAGTAATCGAGGTTGAGGGACCTAAAAATAAAAGGGAAAACTTAAATAAAAGAAAAAAAAAGACGTAGAATAACTTGAAACTTAAATTAAACTTAAAGCTAAAAACTTAAAAATAAATTTTGTTTAACGTAAAACTAAAATTTGCTTAAAAGTAAAACTAATTTTGCTACAACTAAATTTGTTAAAACTAAATTTTGTTAAAATTTAAACTAAATTTATTTTTGTACTTAAAATTAAAATTTTGGTTAATATCTAAAAAAAAAACTAATTGTTAAAACTTAAAGTTAAATTTGGCTAAAATTTAAAAATTTAAATTTGATTAAAAACTTAAAACTAAATTTTGCTCTAAAACTAAAACTTGCTAAAAACTTTAAACTTATAAATAAAACATTACTTTTGTTAAATTTTTTGTTAATAAACAAGTTTTTATAATGTTCAAATGAAATTTTAAAAATTGTATCATTAATATGATGTGGTAAATTTCTAATAATCGGCGGTAAGTAGGGTGACTAAATGTTTGCAGGGAAGATCAGGGACGTCGAGGAAGTGGACGTCAAGGCGAGGATGAATCCTCGAGAGGGAGGGCCGTATTGTGTATAGGTATGACCGTAGGGAGATGTAGGACTACTTTTGGCCCCTTTTTCTAATAATACCCCAAATGCTGGTATGAATTTTTGTGTTAGTGTGTGTTTGTGGTCCAGATTGCCGGCAAGAACCACCCCATCCGGCGAGCTTTAGCCGCGCAATACGCGGGCATACCAGCGCCGCTAGCAATCTGGCCGCTCTGTCCCTTTTTGTCTTTATGTTGTCTGTTTGTTTATTTAAACAAACAGCTGACACAACACACCACTACATAAATGGCGCCCAACGTGGGGCCCAAAGTAGGTCCATAGACCAATTATAGGAACTATCATTTCCCTGAAGTCTGCGTAGGCCGGTTAGGTTAATAAGAGTCCCTAGCTGTAGCTACGTAGGCGGACGGGATAGTGTATTGACATTTTTAATTTTTTTTCTTCCTTGTAGTTGTTCATTCCGTAAGCAGATTGTCACTGGCTGAGATATAAATGATTGATAGTACAGAATCTTCAGTTTTGTCCTGGATATAATCAGTAACTATACTAAACACAATTCATTTGAAGTCAGTAGTAATAACAAGTAGTTTAGGACCTTGTTTCATAGATTTTCTAAACTTTATTTTGTTATTACTACCGAATTCTGCACTTATTATAAGAAAATATGGTTCCTATGGAGTCCGACTTAGACTACCTAAACTAGCTGTCCAGTCTTCCTAATATACTTTCTAATATCAACTACTTTTATAACTATTCACTCACCCGGATTATCTGCTTCACTGCTCTCATTTGCTTCTCTATTGTTGTTGTTCTTGTTGTTGCAACCTGGAAAAAGTTCGAAGGACTTTAGTAGGGTTTCAAATAGTAATAAATTTAAGTTTTAAATGTTTCATTACAAATACTTGCCAATTCCCATGAATTCCACTGAATTTGGCTTCTAATTGGTGTTTTCGTCCCTTCAGTTCGTCCTCCTCAGGGACACTTGAAGTCTTAATAACCTGTAGGGAAACGAAACTTTAGTTTTTATTATTTTAAAGTTAGCAATAAAATTTTCTAAAAGAATATTTATGAATTGTCTTATGAAAATGTTTATTAGGATTCTCTTTTATAAAATTTTATAACCTAACACTCTTATTTCTATTAGATCTAAGGCTTTAGCCAAAGAATAAATAAGAAATGAAACTGTTGTCAAAAGTACCTAAGTCTACTGTCATCCGGTACCTAACTCTAAGAATGTATTAGTAGAATTCTCAAGTCAACATAGTTGCAAAAAATCGTATTGAAAAATATTGAAAAAAAAATATTACATTTCAATTTATACTTTGAAAGGTTTCTTAAGATATTTTCCACATATTTTATCTACAAACATTTTATAAACACGTCTATTTGTTTTTTAATCTATAATATTGAAAAAATAAATTATTTATTTGAAAATCTTTTTCGTTTACCATACGAAAATTTACAACATTGTTTTTTTTAGTTTTAATTTCAACCAACAAAAATTCAATGTCAAAAAATAAAAAATATTTTTTTTTCGTTTGTAAAAAATATATAATTTTCGGGCTGTTAAATGTGTTTAAATTGTGCAAAAAAATTATAAAATATAATGTTAAGTGATAAAAAAATATTTCAAAGTGCTATTATCCTCAAATTTTCGCGAAAAAGTTTTGAAGTTTGGAGAGAGATCAACATTTTTACATATGTGTTGGATTTACACAGCACTCGTCTGTGAGAAGAGCGTAATGTTATTGTTGTAAAAAAATGACAGCGTTTCACTTCTTGTTTATTCTTTGGCTTTAGCCCCAAATCTTTGGTGGTTTTGGTCCTTGCTTTTTCACCGAACTCTCCCTAATAAGAGGCTTACCTGACCTTTCACTAGGTTCTCGATCTTCCACTTCACTTTCCTCAGGTGTTGGATTAGTGTTCTGTAAAGAAAGTGGAAGCACTCAATTTAGTTTTTGTTTAATGTAGTTACAAGGGGTATTTTCCGCCAAAGTCTCTATAGTAACATTATTTTATTTTCTTGTATTTTTATACTTACGGATCCTAAACGAAATCTAAGGCCAGTTTGTAGTTCAAGATCCTCCAGAAGTTTAATCTGAAAGTATAGAGAATTCACATAATTAGTAAAATTATATTAAAAAAAAAAACACACAAAAAAATATTAAAAAATTATAAAAAAAAATAGTAAAAAAAAAATATAAAAAAACATATGAATTACAAAAAAAAAACTGAATTAATACTGTATTTTTAAACATTTTCAAATTTTTTATTATTTTTCGCTTTTATTTTGAGAGTTTTAGTTTTCTTCTACGCTTTTATTCACAGCACACTTTTTGCGAACACCCGTTTTCGTTATTTAATTCACTTTTTTTCACAATAGTTTTTTTACATTTTTATAAACAAGTTTTTTTACTCGCCTTAATACTTTCCTTTTCACCAATTTCTTTTAAGTAATTTTTCAAAAATTTTCGTTTAATTTCCTAAATTTTAATTTTTTTTCACTTTCACGGAAATTTTGCAAACCACTGTAAAAAAAAATTTAAGTTTTAATTAATTAACAACACCATAGCCCAGTTCAATAGTTTTATTTCTTTGTTTTGTTTCAAAAACTAACACTTTTATCCGCCACTGTATTTTCCAAAATTAGTTTTATTTTACACCACACAGTTTCTTCACACACACGGTCAAAATATTCACTTAACACCATAGAATAATTTTTTTTTATTGTGTCACAACACTTTTGTTTTTCACGGTATTCTTTTATTTTTGTTTTACACCGGCTTATTTTACCATCACTTTAGTTTCAGTTTCACTTTCATTTTTATTCACTTTTATTTTTTTTTTTAAACACCGCACACTTTTAATCGTCACTGTAAATTCCGTTTTTAGTTTTTATTTTTTTTATTTACTTTTATTCACCGTCAACAATTCATTCGCACAATAGTTTAAATTTAGTTTCACTTTTAATTTTTTTATTTCACTTTTGTCGCACACTGTAGATTCCATTTTTATTTTTATTCACAGACACAAATCCGTTTTACACAATAGTTTCATTTAATTTCTTTATTTTTTTAATTTTTCACTTTAATTTTGTTTTTCACTTCACTTTTGTCCCGCACTGTAATTTCTGGAAAAATAATTTTTAGATTTTAAATTGTTACCGGCAATAATTTATTAATTTTTTTTAAAGTTTTTTTTATTTTGAATAGTCCGTCCGCGCACTTTTTGTACTCACTGTATTTTCCAAATTTTTTTTTATCACAATAACACGTTACACTCACTTAAAACACTTTTATTTAGTTTTATTCACACACACTTTTCACACTCACTGTAGTTTCCAAAAATCCCTAATAACACTTTAACTTTTATTTTTAAAACACTTTATTTTAAATTTTACACTTAAAATCCATTTTCACTTACCTTGCACATGTCCAACTCCAGAAATTACATCAGCGCCTACCCAATAGCTAACTGTAGTCACATTCCTGAAAGAAACAAACAAAAAAATGTATTAAGAATTTTTGTTAACCTTGAATGAATTAAAATAATTTTTACTTGCCAATTTTCCACCAGAATCTGCAGCATCTTCCGTCTTTTCCTGAAAAGAAAATATAAAAAAAATGTAGTGGTGTGTTGTGTCAGCTGTTTGTTTAAATAAACAAACAGACAACATAAAGAACAAAAAGGGACAGAGTGGCCAGATTGCTAGCGGCGCTGGTATGCCCGCGTATTGCGCGGCTAAAGCTCGCCGGATGGGGTGGTTCTTGCCGGCAATCTGGACCACAAACACACACTAACACAAAAATTCATACCAGCATTTGGGGTATTATTTGAAAAAGGGGCCAAAAGTAGTCCTGCATCTCCCTACGGTCATACCTATACACAAATTATGACCCTCCCTCTCGAGGATTCATCCTCGCCATGACGTCATCTTCCTCGACGTCCCATACCTTCCCTGCAAACATTTATTCACCCTACTTACCGCCGATTATTAATAAAGTTAGCCGATCATATTAATGATAACAAAATTTTAAAATTTCATGTAAACATTATAAAAATTTTTGTTTATTTATAGTAAAGGATTTAACAAACTTGGCAAAGTTTAGTTTTTAGCGAATTTAGTTCTTTTTTTATATTCAGCAAAATTTAATTTTAAGATTTTAGCAAACTTTAGTTAACAAAATTTAGTTTTTAGTTTTAATTTTATCAAATTTAGTTTTTAGCAACTTTAGATTCTAGCAAATTTAGTTTTTAGTTTTAGTTTTTTTTAAGATTTTAACAAAATTTGGTTTTTAGTATTTTAGCGTTTAGATTTAAAGATTTAATCAAATTTTAGTTTTTAATTTTTAGCAAATTATAGTTTTTAAGTTTTAATGTTTCAAATTTCATTTAAGTTTTTAATTCATTTTGAGTTTTTTCTTCTTTTAATTCAAGATTTTCCCTTCTACTTTCAGGTTCCTCAACATGGACAGCTGGCAGGACTAACGCATATGGACTTTTGGTGCGAGCTGGTTGCAGGTGTGGTTTTCTGTCCGTCCGTTTTATAGTCTGTTCGGGTATTTCAGGTAAGTATCAAAAAATATATATTATAAGAACCTTTTAAATAATTTGTTTTTTTTTTTTCTCTTTTTTTTTGTATATACTGGTTTCCGGCAACCTATGAGAAAAAATCCACCGCGACACTATTCATAAGTAGGCCTGAGCTCAACCCTAACCTTACGCGCACGCCTGGTTCAATTTCAACCCGCGGACTGGCTTCGAGCAACTAACCGTAAGGTTTGCCTATAAACTAATATATAGCTGCTTTCTTTTTTTTTTTGTTTACTGAAAATTTTTTATTCCTTTTTTTTTTATATATAGAAATTATCTAAAAGGACTGACTGGTTCTGTTCGTCCTGTCGTTCGGGTAAGAGGTAAACTTACAAGGTCGAAAACCTTAATACCTGGGCACCACAGGACTGATGGTGCGGATCTGCTAAAGGAGTCCCTCGATGGATGGAGCTGGCGATGGCGTGGCTCAAAGTTGGCTAATTTAGCTTTATTTTTCTGTTTTATTTAGTTTTATGATGAATGTAATGTAATTTTAAGTTTTAATTTATTTTGTTTTAACTTTTATTTGTAGTTTAGTTTGAAACTTTTATGAATAAAAAAAAACAAGGAATTATTTAATTTAAATTAAAATTTTTGTTGTTGTTCTTGACAGCCACGGGCTCCACCTTCTTCTTGGGCAGGGAAAAATGAAAAGGACCGACATCTTACTTTTTAGGTAACGAGAAACCTCGGTTACCAATATGGTTCCCATCAATTTAACACCATTTCAGCCATTTATGTAAACCGTATAGTTTTTTTACATTATAGTTTTGTTTTTGTTTACATTTTCCAGCTGTCAGTTAGTTTGTACATCCGCGTTGCCAACTTCTCTTTCCGTCTTCTTCTTTTTAAATTTTGCCCTACTACAGGGTGCACACGACAAACCGTACCATTCTGTAATCCATTTATGGATACAGAATGGGGTGGAAAAATTTGCGCCCTGAATTTATGAATTTCCCTAATTTTATTTCTATAACTATAATTTATAATTTTATTTTGGGAATTTTGGGCATTTTTTATTCTTAACAAAAATTCGCAATATGGCAACCCTCATTCCATTCACAAACAGAAGTGCGACTCTGTACCGCCGTTAAAACAGGTCGGGCGGCGACGTACTCTGAATTTACTACACAGCTGTTTGAATGAAATGGAAGGGGAGGAGAGAGAATGCAAAAATACGCATTTATCAAAATTTTTCAATGGCGGTGGTCAACAATGGTAAGTACTTTTCAATGAAATTTTTATTTCTGAATTTATTTATTTTTATTTAAAAATTTTAATAAAAATTTATGCCAAAATACTAATTTAATTTTTTTCATATTTTCTTTTCAGGAAAAGACGGAGGATGCTGCAGATTCGGGTGGAATATTGGTAAGTAAAAATTATTTTAATATATTCAAGGTAAACCAAATTCTTAATGCATTTTTTTTTGTTTGTTTGTTTCTTTCAGGAATGTGGCTACCGTTAGCTATTGCATGTGTGAAGCAATTTCTGGAGTTGGACAACAACAAGGTAAGTAAGAATGAATTTAAAGTGTGTACTATTATAAAAAAGTATTTTGTTCAAAATAAAAAGCGCTGTTAGGAATTTATTGAAAATTTAGAATACAGTGAGTGTGGAAAGTGTGTGTGAAAAAAAAATTAAATAAAAGTGTTTTAAGTGAGTGTAATGTGTTATTGTGATAAAAAAAATAAAATTTGGAAAATACAGTGAGTACAAAAAGTGCGCGGACAGACAATTAAAATGTAAAAAAAATTATAAATGATTGCCGGTAAAAATTTAAAATCTAAAAATTATTTTTCCAGAAATTACAGTGCGGGACAAAAGTGAAGTGTAAAACAAGATTAAAGTGAAAAATTAAGGAAAAATTAATTAGAACTATTGTGTAAAACAAAATTGTGTCTGTGAATAAAAATGGAATCTACAGTGTGCGACAAAAGTGAAATGAAATAAAAAAAATAAAAGTGAAAATAAAATTAAACTGTGGTGCGAATGAATTGTTGACGGTGAATAAAAATTAATAAAAATGGAAAATACAGTGCAAATCAAAAGTGTACGGTGCTCACAATAAATTAAAAATAAAAGTGAATGAAAATTGGAAGTGAAACTGAAACTAAAGTGATGGTAAATTAAGCTGGTGTAAAACAAAAATAAAAGAATACAGTGAAAAACAAAAGTGTTGTGACACAATAAAAAAAAATTATTCTATGGTGTTAAGTGAATATTTTGACCGTGTGTGTGAAGAAACTGTGTGGTGTAAAATAAAACTAATTTTGGAAAATACAGTGGCGGATAAAAGTGTGAGTGATTGGAATAAATAAAATAAATAAAACTATTGAACTAATTGAAATAACTAATTGAAATGGTGAAATAATTAAAAACTTAAATGGTTTCTTACAGTGGTGAGCAAAATTTCAGTGAAAGTGGAAATTAAAAATTAAAAGAAAATTACTGAAATGAAACTAAACTTTTAAAAACGGAGTGATTAATTAGAAATGACGTGAAAATGATAAAGTGGAAAAAATGTAAAAATATAAAACTATGGCGAATAATTAGTAAAACGAATGGTGTTCACTAAAAGTGCTGTGAACTAAAAAGCTAATGAAAACTAAAAGTCTTAAAATAAAAGTGAAAAAAAAAAAAAAAAAAATTCACAAATAATAGTTAATTCAGATTTTTTTTTTGTAACTTATAGTTTTTTTTATTATATTTTTTTTTTGTCATTTTTCTATATTTTTTTTATAATTTTTATAAAATTTTGGAATTTTCATTTTCTCTGAATATTATTTCCTATTTCTAATGCTTTTCCTTATATATTTTCTCTCTTTCCAGATTATTAATTCATTATGGGGAAACTAGAATAGAATATATGGACTTCAATGAAGACTCAGGTAAGTCTTGTGTTAAAGAGCTAGGTGGGAAATGCAAGGACTAGATTCACCAAAGATTTCAGGATAAATCCTTCGATCTATGGCGAGAAATACCCCTTGACATTTCCAAACCGTAATATAACAACAAAATTAATTTACTAGTATAAGTGCTGTTGAGATTTGAAAAAGCCCTAAAGAAGCATTATAAAAGAGAAATGTTCTCCGACAAATTCATTATTATTTCTTTTGGAATTTTTCTTTTCTCAACTAAAAAGGTATATATTAATAATATTTTGTTTCATACAGGTTCTGTGGGAATTCAAGTGCCTCGTGAAAGACGAACCCTATGATGCCAACTCAAAAGAATTCAGTGGAATTGGCAAGTATTATAAAATAATATCGAAAATTTAAATTTAAAAATTATTTGAATCTTAACTAAAGTCTTCCGAACTTTTCTTCAGGTGGCAACAACTACAACAACAACAATAGAGAGCTAAATGAGAGCAGATAATGAAGCAGATAATCCGGGTGAGTGAAACGTTAAAATAGTAGAAAAACTAGAAAGTATGTTAAGTGGACTGGACAGCTAGTATAGGTAGTTTAAGTCGGACTGCATAGAAACCTTTTCTTTTCACAATAAGTGCAGGATTCGGTAGCAATAACAAAATAAAGTTTAGAAAATCTATGAAACAAGGTCCTAAACTACTTGTTATTACTACTGACTCCAAATGAATTGTGTTTAGTATAGTTACTGATTATATCCAGAACAAAACTGAAGATTCTGTACCATCAATCATTTATATCTCGGCCACTGACAATCTGCTTACGGAATGAACAACTACATGTTGGTCTTCCAATATGTATTGTCCCATTTGTTTCCTTTGGTATCGACTCGCTGTAAGATCGGACTCAGAATTGTGTTATTGCCCTAGGTGACTAATAACCCTTACGCCTTGAATGGCACGGTACCGGAAGGCTTTGATGGGGTTGCACCTTCTAATAGGGTAATGACCGGTTACACATGTAATCAGCTAAGAAACGTTGGCCTTAAGTCGATCCAAACAAATAATTAATCATTCCAAAGTAGCTATGGATCTCACTGGACACGATATAAATGAAAGATAAGTACAGAACTCAGTACTGTTCAGGCTACAACAATAACCATATTAAACAGAAATTCACTG